ATATATATGTATATAGGTTTATGTTCTATTAGGAAAACAAAAAAACCCTAAAAATCATAAAAATGCAATAAATATATACATATTTTTGTTAAGTATTTATAATAAATATTTTAATGTATTTAAGAGATTAAATTAAACAAAGAATATGACATATTTGATTAAAATGTTCAATGTAAATTAACCTCTCGCTTAAACCTTTTTTTAACAACCAGGATTTATTTTTATTTTAAAAGTAAAAAAGGCTAGTGGAGCACTACAAAGAAGAGTATGACATATTTGATTAAAAAGTTCAATGTAAATTAACCCCTTGCTTAAACCTTTTTTCAGCTTAAAAAAGGGTTCATAATCTTGAATTGCTTCAAAGTCTCTACCATGGTGATATAACTTACAATTTTCGTTGATTCATTAGCATACTCTTGGTGATGTTGCATGGCCCTGATGTCGGGTTTTAAAAAATAAAAAATGTGATACGTTGATAATTTGTCGATGTTTTTTCAATGTTATCGACAGGAAGTTGGTCAATATATTGATACAAACTTTAAATAGAGGGTTGAGATTTGAGAAAATGGCATGTAATGTAAATTAGGCGTCACTTCCATTTTCTAAATATAGTTTACATAATGTAATATTTAATAACTTCTTTGAAGATGACATGGGGTGTCTTACAATATTGCATCATATATGTGCCAATTATACAAGTTTTCCTACATAGGCAAAGTTCTTGTTTAATTGAATAATATTGATGAGTCCTAGATAAGTACCGATTCGATAGATGGATAACATCAACAAATGTCTTGCGAGGTATTATAAAGGTGAGCATCATCATTTACAACCTTTTTTCTCGAACCATTCTTTTTGTTAGCATTGTTTTCCACACAAGACAATAAGCAATTTGAAGATTAGTATTAAAAATTATCGAATTGTTATAATATCCATCGAAATCAAAATCAAACATACACATAAGAATGATAATTATGTCAATTCATCGCAAATTATATAAACCATTTATTATTTTTAGTTTATCAAGTTTCATCTAAAAATTAGTTTGATAATTTGCGATTAGATCTGATTGTAAGAAATGTAGAAGAAAAATTACCCTTTTTGTCGGATGAATCGAAAGATGAGACATAAATTAAAGACCAACCTACTTTGTTGTGGGTGTTGTGGACGTTTCGAAATGAATCGTGTTTGGGAATAAGAAGATGAAAAAGGAAATTTTGTTTGATTCTGTTGTTTCTTTTTCTTTTAATTGGTATTGTGCTAGGAATTGTAAGGCTAGTATAAGTTGGACCGAGTGGTTGAAAAACCCGGTCATGAACTAATTGTTTTGTTGTGGTTTTGCTAGTTTTTCGCTAGCTTTTAATTCATTATGCCGTTCAAAAAAAATTAAAGACCAACCTAGTTTTCACTGATCTTAAACTATAAACAATCGTACAGAACGACTATTGTCCTTAAAGGTTTTTATGTTGCTCTAGCGTTGTAAGCTTCAGAGTAAATCTCAAGATTTAATGCAGATTATCGTTTGTTTCAACGGCTATGGAAGAAGCGATAAACTCAAAGTGAATACTCGATAAAGGAAGAAAGTTGTGTTGGGAGAGGGCGAGAGTGGAGAGTAGGGAGGGTTGCGGTTTCAAGTGTAGAATAAATGGGACGAGAGGTCCTATTTATACTAACACAAATTACATAGAAGCCCTAAAAACGGATCTGACGATGATGTCTAGCCTCTCATAGGTTGCCACATTGTGATTCCAATTTGAATTTGAACTTTGGATTTGTCATGAAGTTTATACAACAATAGCTTTTAAATGATGTTCAAATAATGGGGTGCTACACGATCCGACCCGATCGAACTTTCCAAAATAAAGTGCAAAATGCGTCTAAACCATGTCATTTTGCAAACCCTATGTCCTTAAACCAGCTCGGTACGTGTGTTGGCCCAACTCTTATTCTTTGAAAACTTAACAAGATGTTAATATCATCCACCATTGTGAGACAATAAACCTGCCTACTTACAAATAATCATTAAATTGCCAACAACAAGATGTTAAAAGACTTGTCTTATTACTCTATTGTTACTTTTGAGATAAATAGTGAAGCTCCCTCTTGACAAAAAAAATCTCCTCGCTCTTGTATTTACTTTTGGTTATAGTTGTACAAAAATATAATTTATAATAAAAAAAATATGAGTCAAATTCATAAAAATATAAATAAATAAATAAAAACTAATAAATATAAGAGTTTTATTGAAAATAATATAAATATGAGTCAAATTCATTCCCTCCCAACCCACTGAACTCACTGCCACATTACTTTATTTTTTTTATTTTTCTTCATCTTTCCGAATCCACAACACACGGAAATTCTATCTTTTTCAACCCACTCAATTAAAAAAATACAAAACAACTAAGGTACAAGTTTTAAAACACATGGTACACGAGAAAATGAGAGAGATAAAGTAGAGAGAGATGATGAAGTGGGTTGGTGAAACTAATTAAACAACTCGCTGAAGTGGAAGTGGTACCGGCGGTAACTTTATTGCTAATTAAGATTTTACATTGATTATTTTGTATTTTTTTTTTAATTGAATGGATTGAGTGGGTTCAAAAAGATAGGGTTTCCGTGTGTTGTGGGTTGGGAAAGATGAGGAAAAATAAAAGAAACAAAGTGATGTGGCAGTGGATTCAGTGGGTTGGGAGGGAATCACTCTCTCCTCCCTAAGAGAGGAAGGATATATATACTTCTATAAATCTCTAATATCTCTTTGTACTAATAACTATATGATTAGTTATAAAATATCTTTTTTTATGTGATTGGTTGGAAATAGAAATACCATTAAACCTTATCGTAGAATATATTTGTCCAAAAAAAATGGTCTAAAAGATGGTCTAACTATGGGATTGCGTTTGAATTTTAAATTTTGTTGTCTATAAAAATAACATAAATTTAGCATTCATGCATGCCAAAAACACACACATACACACACAACACAAATTAAAAATGCTTCAACCCACCACCTCCTTGACATTCGTGGTCCGGAGACAAGCACCGGAGCTGATAGCCCCGGCAATACCCACACCTCATGAACTAAAGCCTCTCTCCGACATTGATGACCAGGAAGCGTTAAGGTATCATGTCCCGGGGATTCTGATGTATAAAAGGGATCCAAAAATGGGAGATACAAATCCGGCGAGTGTGATCAGGGATGCTTTGGCAAAGTTGCTTGTGTTCTATTATCCTTTTGCTGGCCGCCTGAAGGAAGCTCCGGAGAAGATGGTGGTAGACTGCACCGGCGAAGGTGTGTTGTTTATTGAGGCGGAGGCAGATGTTACGTTGAAGCAGTTCGGGGAGGTGCTTCATCCGCCGTTCCCTTGTTTGGAAGAGCTCCTTTATGATGTTCCTGGCTCCGGTGGCATCGTCGACTCCCCACTCCTACTAATACAGGTGAAGCTTTTGACATATTAATTCTTGACTTCTTGTTTCCGAATAAAGTATTGAGAGTGGAAACAAGAGAAATGAATTATATCACTCTTTTAATCAGGAAAAATCGTAAAAATCTATAATATTGGATTCTTTTAGAAAAAAATAATAATACATCAACCTTTTGTTTATAGTTTATAAGCACCCAATTATTTTTTCTTTTTTCTAAGTGATTATTACTTCAAATTTGGATTCACAAATTATAACAAGCAGTAAGATACTTATTAAAGGTATAGAAAATCATTATAATGTATTAAAACTTCAAAGCATAAAATTGTTATATATATATATATATATATATATATATACATATATATATATATATATATATATATATATATAGGGGATATGGAATATACATTACAGCCCCACCTAAGCTTAG